ACTTTTCTTCACGTTGTAAAGTTTCAAACGATTCGGTACATCCAGTACATGGAAAAGCTTCATGAACGATTCACCATTCGGATGCCACTTTCACATCCCCTTAATACTGACTTACTTAACCACTGACTAGTATTCATTTCCAAGTAAATCCAGATTTATGATATGCTGGATCGAGTAAACACCGACGGTGGAGACGTGGTGACAGACTAATCGGTAAGGAGTGGGCGTCGTCGTTGACGATTCGTCAATATTGAGTAATAGTGCCGACAAAATGTCGACCGGTGTCGAGCTAAGTTAGCAGGGAGGAGTTAATGCGATGGGGTCAATATTAGGCCCATACCCAGAAAACAGGGGACAAGTGCAGGGTCCATAGAACGTGTCTTGGCTTCAAACAACAGGGTCAGCAGGGGAGTCTTGCCGAACTGGGTTAAGTCCTACCAATTCCGTGGGTGGTCCTCAAGAACCATCGGACGATCCGAGCATGATTCTACGAGGACACCATACGACCAAATGGAACGGGTATGGGACATCAGGAACCGCCGACCTGGAACGATCGAATTTACTGCGTACCCTGGCTAATTGTTGCGATACCGTCGCACCCGATGTCGAATTACCGGCCCGATAATTCGAGTGTTCCCAACGATTACCGCTCTCGTATCGGAGCCGCCATTTGCGCTCCCAGAGTGTACGCGACCGTTTTACCGATGGGATTTGTCCAACTGGAAGAGATCCTTGGTGGACACGCGGCAGATGCTGCAACGAGTGGACTAATGTTGCATTAATTCAGTGACACGCATACGTGTGTGTAGGGTAAAGCGAGGTAAAGCGTGAGTCCGCTGCTAGACGTTGTCGGAAAACCTTTACCACGAGGCGAAATCAAAATCAAAGAAAATGGCCGACTTGACGCCGGTGAAGCGACACTTCTTTTTCTTTTATTTTTTATTTCGATCTAAATGATAATCATTAATTGAGGAATAACGTCACACTGACGATAATGTTTACGCAAATTGTCCCGATGCCAAGATGCAAAGATATAAAGAGTGATTAATCCTTTGATGTTTTTTTAACGAGTCTGACCCGTGATACAAGTGTTTTGCTTTTTGTTACTCGTTTTAGGTTCTTAACGTTCGAACTTACATAGGAGTAATGAGAAATTGCACTTTAATGGTAATAACCAAATATTGGAAAAAGATGGATTATGTGCGGCCTCAATTTGAACGGTTATATTATATATTGTACGTAATGTCGTTTCGTTTAAAAGGGAAAAGAAAAGCGTTCGCTCTTTCGTCGTTGATTTCATCGTGTCGTCGCTTCTTCCTGCCACTGCGAAATCGAATCGCGGCTTTTGACCCCCGACTTCGGCCAATAAATTTGCCGGTACGAAAATAAAACAGAGGAGCTTTGATTGGCCGCGACGGCAGCGCCACCGATATCTCGATTACGGTGGCGTCGTTACCGAACTAGAGTGGGGCGCTGATCGCATATGCATGAGGCCGTGCATGGCGCCTCCTACGTGACCGACCGATGACAAATGGCGCTCGTTTCCGGTCACGTGAGACGCGCCAAATTGAAACGTGCACGAACGCTCCTCGGCATCGTCGCCGGGAGATTTTTCGTTAGTCGCACGTCCCGCTATTAACGCCCTTTTCAGATGCGTCTCTCTGCGCGTTTTAGCATTTACGACTTCCGGTCTAGAGGCAGTCCGATCGGATTGCATCGATGAGGCAATTCGCGGGTCACGCTCGCTTTTAGACTCACTCGCGTGCACACGAGTCTAGAATCCCCCACTGGAGGGACTAACTCGATTATCGAGGCCTTTTTTAGTAACTCGCACTTCCACCGTCGGAGGCGCCGCCAGTTTAGAGATGCTAAAGGAATTCTTGAAAATCTCCCGATGTCGCGAAGAATTCACTGAAACAGTGAACATTTGTATTTATATACACATACCCTGAAATAGACATTTAAACGCGCGGGTACACGAGTCAGGAACCTCCCGCTTGCAGGATTGATTTGATCCTAAAGCCCATCTTTAGTAACTCACATTTTTATCACCAGGGGCGTTGCTTTACAGGACTTCCTTTACATCGCAAAGTCGCGAGAAATTGTCTGGAGCAGAGAGATCTGGGACGTAAATCGTGATTCTAAGATTTATATCAAATGTGATTCTTTTTTCGGACGTCTACCTTACCTATGGGTCGTCCCTGGTTCGACGGCACGATCTTGGTTCCTTCTCGGTTTCGCCAGGGAGCAGCACAGTCGCGCCGTTAGGTGAGGCCAACCCTCGGGGCTTACTCGCGTGAGGTTAGTCCGGCGCGGATTAAGGGAATTCGATGAGTTAAGTTTAACGAGATAATGTCGGCTGTCACTTTGAGGAGTGCCGAGCCGGAACGGAGCGGACTCGGAATAAATCGAGGCCGCCAATGGCGCCCTGATGGCCGCCATTAGGCCACTCTTCGGGCTGCAGCGGACAAGGGCGGGTTGCCACCCTCCCATCGGTGAACCGCGCGTTACCTCCGAGGTTTTGCTATACCGTACCCGGTAGTCCCGGGTCTCCGATAATTAATGCCGCTTCGGCTATGCTCGCTCGAAGAGCGTTATAACTTCATGCCTCGTCGGGACGCGCTAGGCATTGTCCGTCGGCGCTTCGATTCGGGCCATTGGGTCCCGACCCGGGCTGCGGCTGCAACGTTTTTCCCGAAAGCCTCCCACGTCGGGCAAAGAGACGGCTAAAACTCATTAGCGAGCAAGCATTGCCGCGAGTTGGACCAATCAACGACTGGGAGGATCCCGTCCGATTCCTACGGGTCCGCCGTTAATTTAACGCTTCGCCCCGCGGCCCACAGACGTCGCCTCGTTCGCAGCTTTACCTGCAACTTCGACTCCGACGTCCTAACTACTATCAACTTATTCCCTGGTGAAGTACTTTCGCTTTAAAGGTTGCCGTGCCGCGTAGCCGGAGAAAAGTCACGCTGGGATTTCCACCTTCGATCAATATATACATATAACTGTTGTCATAAGGTTTGTTCGCCTTCTTTGCACTTTCTACACTGGAGTGTAACGAGTGTACTGCACTTTTCTTGAAAGGTGCAGAAGGGTAGATACACTTTCGTCGACATCCCGAGCGCCAGAAAACTGAAAAAAGTACAAGATGGCCGATTTAGCGGGACAGTATGCGATTTAGGAGCTATTCGAAAATCCATAATTTATTTCACTCCAACCGCAGTTACGCAGTAATACATAATAATTGTAAATACATAAATTGCAAATGAATGCATAATTTGTAATAAATAACGATTGTACAATTTTTCAAAGATTACGTACAAAATTGAAACGCTTAATCGTTCTATACGCGAAGAAAATGTATTAATCATTATTTCTATTTATATTACGTTGAGGTCTTGGGACAAACTTTTTATTTTTTGTCACTTCCGTCAAAACGAATGCCAAAGTGTACACTTTTCATAAAAGTGTAGAAAGTGTAGGCAAAACAAACAAACCTATATACATGGGTTGGTACAAAAGTAATAGCGTTTTTAACACGTAACTTAACGTGTAAAAAAAAAGAAACAGGCCATTATTTATGCATCGACCTAAAATATTAAAATATGGTACTTTAAAGATCTCTGCGCTATGGCGGCAGGGAAATGCGATTTTCTCCCTTGTCGATCCCGCGAACAAGTGTTGGGTCATATAAATGTATTAAAATATGATACGAGGTGTCGTTTGCGTTATGACGTCGATACGTCACGACTAAAGGAGACATCGAGCTTCTCCGGTTCGAGAGCTCAGCTGGGCTTGCAAGCTCATCGATCAAACGGCCCGAGAACTCTTGCCCGGCACTTCGGTTAAAGCATTACAAATATTTTACGAACGCCAGCCAATTGAAGCACGTATACGTTATTACCGAGAGTCGCTTCGATAATGATATACGTGTCTGTCGAGTGGATGTCCATATCAGGGCTCTCCAGACATCGGCAAATACGTTGAAACGTATTCATACCACGAACGTAGGACACATGGGGACGGAGAACCTAATCTTTGTTTGATATTCTTGCGAATGTTCTTGATATTCTTGTGAAAGCCGCGAGAAGAAAAAAGAGCGAACAGAGGGGCTCCCCCTGCTTTTTCTCACTCTTTCTCCCGCTATTAAGTCATCCGTCGCCATATTGCCTCATGCAACCATATCACGTATAAAAAATAAAAGGAACGAGAAAAAGACTTGGTTTTTTTTTAATTATGCTTTCAAAGATCGAATCAATGCTCGGGATCTGTACACCCTACGTCCATGGTTGATTGAGCTCATCGCATGATCATTTCTGCGTAATCGGAACGAAGAATAGGGAGGTCGTAAATATTTTCCGAATTCCCATGGAAATCCCCTAATTCCTGCGACCTCTAGCTCGCCCCCGCAGAGATTCACCCTCGTTCGGTCCTTGATTAGCAGTAAGGCGCAGCTTTCAGGCAGCTTTCGAGCCCTCGCCCTCTTCAACCCCTTCAACACTTTTGTCACGGTTGGAGTTCATCGCGAGAGGTCCTCACCACTTCTGGGGCTCTCATTCCCTGGTCGTTATTGACTTAAGTACCGGGTCCCGAAATTAACCTGCATAGCTTCTCCTGGAGTACATTGGAATATGCCAAAAGCTCTTCTAAACGAATTTAAGACGTGTCAAAACTCACCTTACGGGTTATTGAGCGAGGATAAAGAACGAGTTTCTCCGCTTTATTTCCCTAGTCGTGTCGAGGAAAATGGCGGGCCTTAATTGGTCGATCAAGCGGAATTATCCCGACGACGTTAATTGTTACTTTACGTTATTTATCCGCCCTCTCCTCCCCTGTTATCGTCCTCGGTGCCCGAGAGAGGGCCGGTCTTATTTTCTTTTCCCTTCGAGCTCGACTTTCACGGCAATAAAATTACCTCGTTACTCCGCGACTCGAGACCGCCTCGACTGACTTCGTTTACCTGAAGAGATTGTTCATGGCGGCGAAATTATCTGTTCCAGATAGCGAAGCTTTTCTCCTATACATGGACTATGGGGCTGTTCTTATGCAAGTCGGTGCACTACATGCAAAGCGTCTCGGCCATATGCTCGGTCTTGACTCTGACGGCCATGTCGATCGAGAGGTGAGCTTTTTCATTCTGGATATACAATATTTATATATATATATATAATATGTTTTGTGTCATATGCATATTATGTCCTCAGTAGAGGTAAAGAATAGGAAGTCCACTTTTAGAAACTTTCAGGAAACATTTACCACGGGAGAGCGTTTAAAATCAGGTAGCAGAAAATAACTCCATATTGGAAAAAGCTGGATTCAAGGCTGCTTACTCTTATGGTATAGACATGTACACCGACGATTATTAAAATTGCAACACCTAGAAATACCCGGGAGAAAGACAAGAAATATTGTAAAAATTGTTTATTACGTCGGAGTAACGAGTGATAAGAGTTTCAGGTATTCTTAACGAGAAATACCAGACATGTTCAATGGAATATATCAGCTGTAGGGATTAAATTTATAAATGTATTTAATATCTTACTTTTCATTTTCGGTGTTGTTTTTTTAATGCCGGTATATGTTATAATAGTAAATAAAAAATCACTGGTATCACTTGGAAGGAAAAATTCTCCGACAGATGTGACGCTCGAGATAGAACTCCCTGCAAGTTCAGTGAGAAACATTCCGGGGAGCTTTTTGCATACTTTTTCAGGAAAAGCTCGACCTGCTATCGGGCATGCGAGCTTATCGGTCCGAAGAAACACGACCTCGGAGTTCCGACCCCTCCTCGAGTCCACCTTGGGCGTTTCTCTTTCTCCAAGAAAGCTCGGAGCTTTCGGTCTTATCCTTGCGGGAAAAATCAAAAACTCGGCCGTCTCCCAGGCCTACCCTAAACCTGCCAGGACCTCCGGCTATAATTTTCTCGGCCTAAGCGCCGTTGGGAAAGCTCCCTTGTTTCGCTTTGCCCGGACGGAAGGAGCTTTTAAGGAGGACATACGACGCCGGCGGCGAACTGACGCGAAAGTTACGAACCAGCCTAGGGAAAGTGGGACTTTCACTCGGAGCTTTTCTCAGAATCTCGGATGATGACGCGATGATCTCTCCCGTCATTGCGAGCTTTAACAATAGAATTACGCGCGGATTTTTTTGTATAGGATGGTTCATCCGAAACTAGTCATTTTGACTGGTCTTGGTAGTTCCATAGTTAATCGAGAGCTTCACTGAACAAAGGGGACTACGAAGAAGACCATCACGTTTTTTGAAATACCGGCGAAGCTCGGAAGCTCCCTGATGCGAAAAGCTGTCGAGCTAGTGACTGTACTTTTTTCGAGTTTATAAAAAAAGCTCCGCTTTTGCATCACGTTGGGAGGGTAGCTCGACGTTTCCCTGGAAAACTTCTCGCAAACTCCAGCGAGATTCCGAGCTCCATCGGAAACGGGAAAGCTCGGGAAAGCTGCCTCGCGCGCAGGGAGGAATAATCCCTTTCGGGGTCGCGTCGAAAGCTCGATTTTGCCATTTCACCCCGCGGAGTAAGGGAGACAAGTCAGGCGAATCGTTCGTCGGAGTCATCGAGGATCTGTAAATTTTTTAAGGACCCGCAAGCTCGAGGCGCTCGAAAGCTCGACCTAGGACTTGACGAGCCTCTTTCCAGGGTTTTTCGGGACATCTCGCTTTTTCCCCTCTCTCGCAAAGTTCCGCGGAAGCTCGCGCGTGGTTTCTCGCCCCGTGGGGGAAAGCTCGTGAGCTCCGAAAGTCGAGCTCCTCGAAATTGGACGGCGCTTTCCCGGGCGGCGAAAATAGGGCCCTTTATTTCGCGCCCTTCGCCCCCTTCTGTGACGCGACGCGGAAATGCAAAAGCTCTGAAACGTCGCGACGGGGCCGTGCTTAAAGCTCTTTTTCTACTTCTCACTGAAGACCCTTTGTCCGCAGAGCCGTAAAACGGGCCGAGTCCTCGAATTCTCGGACGAAAAGCTCGCCCTCGGAATTCGGTCCTGATTTCCTCAGAAAATCGATCCCCGACCTCTTTTACGCTTTTCATTTTTCCTACTGATTTTCCGAGGAATTTTCCTGCCGCGAGAAGCGATCCGATTAATAGAGATTGATTTCCAGAAGTCTCGCCGTAAGCTCTCCGAGCCGGTCTCAGGGATCGGAAAATTTTGATTAAACCATTCTTGATTTTCCCTCCTTTTTTCTCCCTCGTTTTCGAAGAAGAAATCTCTTTATGTCACGTGGCTTGTAATTAACCAGCGCATCGTCCATTCTCCGATATTGTATTAGCTTGATTGGTACCCTTCACCCCCGACAGCCAATCGATCCGCGCTTATCATTTTCCGGCCTGGAACTTCCTTAATCACTGGCTTGTTCCATCATCTCGCGGACAAATTCGTAAAGATTCGAAAATGGACTTCTTCCTAACCAAACGAATTCGGAATCTCCTTAATGATTCAGTTGCTCCACAAGCTTGCGGGGAAATTTACAAAGTTTGATAAGTGAATTCTTTTGCAACGAAACGCGTATTATTTAACGATGTTCTTTTTGCCATTTTTTATTACCTTTTCCTACCTTCCCGGCAGTTTGGCTTAAGCGTGCAACTATTTCTAGAGAGAATTCACTGTAAAAATTAATTTCTCCTTTGTCCTTTCTTATGTCCTTTTAGGTACTACGCGATAGTCCATCCGATGAGAGCTCAGTATACTTGCACGATAAGCCAGGCCAGGAGAATAGTGACCATGACTTGGGTGCTGTCCTTCCTCTTGGCCATCCCCATCGTCTTCACTCAGGTACGCGACCTCGACGTCGATAAATAATTCCTTCAAGACGATTTGAACGAGAGAAAAAAAAAAACAGAAAAAAAAAAGTGGATTACTCTATAACGCCATCGAATACCGGAAAAAATTGTCGGGCCGACCGCGGAATCGAATTTCCCCGGCGGCGGATTAAATGGAATCTGCGGTAATGAAATTTGCAACGGAGGTACGGACCCGCGGCGATTACGGCACGTCTCTCCCGGTGGCAATTTTCCGCGGGGCTAAATCAACGGAGAATAAATAAAAACCCGGAGAAAATACTAAATCCGCCGTCGGGGATTCCCTTTGAAGGTCCTTTCGTAGAAGGGACAAGAGAAGTTGCAACTTAATTTCGGGCTCGGTCGCAATGCCGACGCGTCAAACGAAATCTCCATTTCGCGGGAAAAGCGAGACGGGGAAATGGGGACTGGACTTGCGCGGGCAAAGATTGAAACAATTCCGTCGGTGTCCCCGATTGGATATCGAATTTGATCACAAAGAGGCGAATCGACGCGGTTGTTATTTCAATCCCGTCACGTTGGCCCGACTGCTACCCCCGCGGGTTTTCTGGGCTTCGCTCTTTCTGGATATGTTTCCGCCTTTAGGGGACGCGGGAATCATTTCCGAAATCACGGGGGGCATATTAAATTCCTCTTTCGTTTACCCCCCCCCCCCCCCCCGGTCCTTTGCATCGTTCCAGATGTCAAGATGAAACGGGCTTGTCGCGACTCGAGGACTCGGCGTCCGAGCTCCTCTGTCAACTCCACAAATTAAGGTGATATGAAAGTGGCATCCTAGGGGTCACTCGTTTATGAAACTTTTCCCGGAACTGAGTGCACCGAATCGTTTGATGATTTACCGCGAGGATACGAAGACCCTCTGGCGGGGCCCCACCCTCGTAAAATTTAATTTCTTATTAAGGAATTCTATAAACAGATTTAAAGAATTACATTTCTTGGGGGGCTGGACCTTCCCGAGGGACTCCCTACTCACGTGGAGAAATCTCATACTATTCGATGTATCCTGTTCGGAAGGAAGTCACAAATGAGATCGTCAGACGCCATTTTCACATCATAAGGTGATATGAAAGTGTGATATAACATACCGGAAAGTAAAAATATTTATAAAACTTTTTCTCCAAACTGGGTTCACCAAATTATACAAAACCTTAACACGTGATTATGGAGGATCTAAGGAAGAACGTACTGCTAGTGAAATTTCATTTTTCGAAAAAAAAAATATATCTTTTTTGGTTCTCGTCCGTGTTAAGTACAAAATTTTCCTTCGAAAAAAGAAAGTGTTAAAGTTTAAGATAATTCGGTGCACCCGGTTTGGAGAAAAGTTTTATCAATATTTTCACTTTATGTTATTGTTAAATATCACCTTAATTCGTCGATTCGAGGATTTCACAAATTGTTGGTACCTCTTTGAAAGCGAATTTGAGATTCTCGGAGTTACGATTCGTCGGCGGTTTTACGTCTTATGGTGGAGTGATAAGTTCGAAAAAAAAAAAAGAAAAGTTTAAGGTAGTTCCGAAGTCAGCGAAATTCGGGGGGAGTTGATGAGGACGTCGGCTCCTTTCTTCCTCGACGCGACGATTTCCCCAAGTTTGTCTCTCCCGAGAAGGCCGATGGACTTTCCCTCGGAAAGTTTGGTCCCGCTCTAATTTCGGGAGGTTCGACAAATCGCCGAGGGCGTGAGCTTAATCCCCGTGATCCTCTGAAGTTTAAAACAGACGAAGCCGGCGAGCTCTGAAGTTGGCTTTTCACGCAAATGGCGTCACGCGCCAACGAGGCTAGAGATTGCCCTAAAGTTGCTGGCAAAGGAAATGATAGAGGTTATAGAAATGAAGAGAACATATTGCTTTGCAATATATTACTTATATACATTGAAATATCCAAAGGCAATTAGACACCCTGTTAGAAATATTCATAAAATTCACGCAAGAGATTGCCCCTCGTTTAGTACATAAAGTTATAGTAGAATTATAAATTTAACGTCCTAAAAGTGAATCGGAATATTTATTACGAATTTATAAACAAACTTACAATTTCATGATATCGGGTTATGATTTTGTGACATTACCTGGGAAAATTACTACACCTATGTCATAAATTTATAACACATTTTATAAATTCGTTGCAAAAATATTTTATAAAATTCACCATCTCCGAATGTTATAGAATTATAAAATTTATTATTTAACCGTGCAGAGAGGGATCTTCCGTTTCTAATCTTTTCCGACAGTACGCTGCGCGGGCATTACGAGCCGATTAATATACGAGATGTAAGCAATAAAGGTGGCTGCATACGTAACGATAAACCATAGCGATAAATCCGTACAAATCGATCTGTATAGATTTAATTGGCATATGAATGTCGTGCCAATAACGTGCACACGTTATAGGAGAAACGTTGTTTATCTTTGCACGTGTAACCACCTTAATGCAAGTGCTAAAAAACACTAAGAGAAATTGTTTTTAATCCATGGGAAATGTTTCAATTTTCAGATATCTATCTTTCGCCAGTAAATGTTACGATATGCTCTATAATTGCGCGGTAAGAACTTCCGGATAAGTGTTTTCACCCTTGTCTTCTCCTTTTATAAGCTCTGTCAGTGTTGAACATAATCGCTTTTGGTCTTTTTGCAAGACGAAGACCAAGACCAAGATCTAATGAGGAAATGCAAGAGCAAGATAAAAAGTACCATGGTTTTGCATTTTCTCATTATTAACCTTTATGGGGAAAATGGTCCCTTAGCGTTCGTTAGCGAGCTGGAAAATACATACTTTACGGAAATTCTGCCCAATGTAATTATGGCGCAAGCAGCTTCCTCGCGAAAAATGTCGACTCCACTTTGGGTGGATAACTCTTCCGATAATATTGGGAATATGGGCGAGGGGTGGCGGGAAGAGACGGGAGGAAGATATAAGGGAATGCTTTCGAAGGCACTAGGAGATGCCGTCAACTGTAAAAAGGAAAAATTGTTAAAAAGGAACGACTTTTGAGATGGATCCGACAGGCGCCCCGAGGCGCCCTCTTCTTGCGGCCATTATCGGCGGAGGGAAACAATTATAAATCTTCAACGTTATCCTTTTTCCTCGCGGTTCTAATTAATTTATTAATTACGGTCTAGTTTGGCGTCGAGGATCACCGCGAAATCCGATCCCAAGTGCATTGCCGGCAATTACGAAGAATATCTTCTTCTCTTTGGCCGGATAAGTCGTCCCATAATGGCGGAAAGATGGCCGCGGAGGCGCGCAGAAAAACGAGGGAAGAATGCCGAGGAATAATCCAGAGGCGGCGCCGGGAAGTATCGGACTGGCGAAAAAGGAACAGCTGGAGGAGAGGAGGAATCCTTCCGCGAAATATGGATTCGAAAAGTGTCGTCGAGAAAACACGGCGATAGGTGTGCGATTGATCCATCCTCGAGTTTGCGTTTTGTGGCCTGTCCGATCGTTAAATATCGTTTGACGATTAAGGGTCGCAGCTACCTCGCTCGTAAAAGATAGCGTCCCCTTCTGGCGAGCACGTCCTAATAACAGGGGAAAAGTGGCAGAGGAGTTATGGCGAATTAAAAGGGAAACATGAAAAGTGCAAATGGGAGAGGCACGCGAGGAATAATCGCGAAAGCGAGCACCCGGAACCCCGAGAAAGGGGGAATAAGAAAAAAGAAAGATGGCCGCGCCTCGTGAAACGGCGCCCCACCAAGTGACGCTAGCGGGGCGACGCCGGGTGTTTATCCGAGCGTTAAAGGATCAAGGAAAACCGAGAGAAAACTGAAAACCCAGAAACTTTCACGGGGAACTCGGAAAGAGAAAGAACCCCGGGGGAAGGAGAATGGAAAGCCGAGAAATCCTACCGCGATAAGTTCCCGAGGACCGATCGTACCGAGACTAATAAAACGAGCGCGGAGTCTGGAGGATTGCAGATATTGCCCAATGGCGTTTCCACTATCGTTTATGGAGCCAATAAAAAAAGAGGCCACCGCGGGAGGACGCTCGACGTCGTTATTAGTATTCCACCGGCGGCCATTTTTATATCGGATTTATCGGCACGTATTTAACGCGATAAGGCTCTTTTTATTCACTTTTATCGGGTCCCTGGAGCGCGAAATTCGCTCCTTTTTGCCCGTCGTTGGAAACGACTCGGCGTGCGTTTTTTAAATTTCTTTTTACCGTCGGATATACGGATGTAAAATTATTTAACGCTTTGCAGACGCACAAAGAAGTCGGCCAGAGGTACTTGGCGTACTGGTGCGTAAGGGATTCGGACTCGGAGACGCTTTGGAGGCTCCACGAGGTTTACATGCTCCTTCTGGTGCTGGTGGTGCCTCTGATCGTGATGGCGTTTTGCTACACCGCCATTTGTTGGGAAATATGGCGCGTCATGAAGCGTCGATACCACATGACGTCACGACGCGCGTGAGTACATGACTAATTACATCTGTCTGCTCCTAGGTACCGAGCCCCAGGGATTGCGTTGATTAATCGAGTGGTTACCCCGTCATCAATTACCGTGATTCGCCCCTGTTTGTTTCATTTACCTCTGTACCTCGGATACGAGGTTCATACTCCAAAAAGCTCTGACTGCAAACCTAAATACGACGAGGGTAATTACCCTGCACGCGTTTTCCGCTCCCCAGTGATACCGTGACTAACGTAGTTACGAGATACTTCGCGACAACCATAGTACCGCCACCCTGCGCGCGCATAACCTGAAACTTCGAAAAGTGATATTTACCGGTGAGTATCGACCCGAGTGATTTATTTTATATCATATAACGGCGACGGGCGACGTTTAAAAGGCTTTTTCGTTACAAGTCACTCCTCGTGGCGGCCCCTTTTAACGCGTGCATTAAAACTCTCGGCTTGGCCGTGACGTTAGAACGCACCTTAATGTTTCGTGTTTGCACGTCGTACATCTGCGACCCGGAAGCCGCCTAAAGGGGACGTGCCACCATTCGGAAGCGAAACCGAATTCCGCGAACCTGTTGGAAACGAGCTTAAGCTCGAGATCCTCCATTCATGCAAAGGCACGTAATATGCGGATTCCCAGCAGGCCGGATTTAATACCGGAAAATAATATCGCGCCTCGCCACTCTGAGGACAATTTTTCATTGGGTTTTTTTTTTCTTTTTTTCATCAAGCGGGAACGGTTCTTCCTGGTCGTGTCGTTTGCGTAGGAATGGTGCACTCCTAAGTTTATTCCCTTTTTTTACTTGGGGGTGTACCTTATCAAAAATTGATTCGAGCTGTCGTGGTCCGGATATAAGGTTCGTTAATCGACAATTTTCGCGATAAGGACGATGCGTGGGATTTTATGGATATCTGCGTTCCTATTCCTTCACAAATTATGGCGGTCCACGATTAGCCCCGCCGAGGAGTTAACACTTTGTCGTCAGCCATACGCAATGTGTGTTTATATTTAGCAAAGTTCCAGCTGGCTAGAATAATTTTGGGACGATGCACCGAACGGGCCTCGGAGATCTATATTCCGTCGGGAGATTGTCTCGTCTGGTCTGAAATATCAGTTTTATGATAATTCTCTTCCTTGACGGACGTCATGCCGGGAGGTATTTATTTCTCCTTAATCGCGATTTTTTTACGTACCAACTGGACGCGTTGTCCTAGATTTAGTAGGTGTACTTTTCCAAAGGTATAAACGTTTCGGGTTTATTGTCCCTGTAACGTCCGCTTTTACTTTGACAAATGGCGTCACACGTCATGGGATTATATTCTAGGTGGGTTAAGTGTGCACCTTTAACCGGACAAGAGCCTCGGGATAATCGGACGCAATTTAACTGCCATATCCGGTAAACTAGAGGAGGCTTTTAACAGACAATGTGAACATTATCTGTGACCTTTCGCGGTTCTTGCTGTGATGGGCGCAATTGCTTTCTGACTGTCATACTGTCATCCCCCGTAATTTCGACAAATCTAGGTTTACCCAATTTAGTGACATCAATGCTAGACGAGAAGGTTAAGGGATGCAATAAGTTTATCAAGTATTTCATTAATACGGGCTTGTTTCTTCTTCTTTAAGGCTTAACCCCAATTGCAACGATGCCGAGTGCATACCCATGAACCAAAGACATTCCAGTTCACGTAATGGACGTCGAAGCCGTCGCGACGACAGTCAGACGGAGGAAGAGTCCCGCACTATGAAGCAGGTACGTACAAAGGTACTGTCAAATTATCCACAAACATGTCATTCCATCTAGAAGTAGAAGAAAATTCATTTCAATATCGGAGACGTCTTCCTCGGGGGATTTCGAATCGAAAGTCTTGAATCGCCGTCTTAATTGGAGGTCTAGTTATTGAGATAATGAGGTTTGAAGGCTTGGTATCAGCAGCCAATCGGAGCTCGGCGTGGGCGGAGTCTGCCATCGATGTCAAGAGTGGGGGTACTCCCCCACTCCTCGCGTTATCTGCCAGACTTTAAAGCGAAATATCTCGGAAACTACAAATAGAAATAAAATCGCGTTTTAACATTTTTGACTCGAAATCGATAGAGGAATGCCGTGGCGCTCCTGCCACGTGTTTATTGACCATACCGCGTTCTTAAAAATCAAGGACACTCACGTCCGTAGCTAGTAGGAATGAAGTTATGATGGATTTAGAAAAAAATCTTTAGGTTGTGAAGATGTTGGTAGCAGTGGTGGTCCTCTTCGCAATCTGCTGGAGCCCGATGCTCATCGATAACGTCCTCACGGCTTACGGCGTCATACCGAGGATCAAGTCCAGCACTTTTAAGCACCTCAACACAGCTTTCCAGCTTATGGCTTACTTCAACAGGTACGGAGATCTCGCATAAAGTTCTATCGACTGCAACTAATAATAAGACATGAAAGGAATCGACTGTAACTAATAATAAGATATGACGATTCCTCGACTTTCGGAGTTTACGAGGTCGTACCTACTCGTATGTTTCGCGTAATATCTCGAGTTCTGTGAAGCATTCCTGAAACGGCTCGTCTCGATCGACGTTATCGTCAATAACTCCACCGAAACCCGATGGAAGTTCAAAGTTATGCAAGGTGACGGCAGCCTCGTGAATAGAACCCTCCAACAGTGCGCCTGCTTTTAAGTTTTGCTTATATAATAGTGCCATTCCTGCCGTTGAATCTTGAACTCGGAAAGGTTGAGCACGTGGAGCTCTTCTTTGGATTTTTATTATTTATTATAAATATTAAGGCTGAGACTTTAAGCAACCTATCGGAGTCTCTCAAAAGCTCTCAGTCCACGTTGTCGTAGAAGTTACTTAATCGGTTTGATATCCGTTCGGTAGGGATTTATCCGGGATCTAGTAATCGTTTATTAACTTCGTGCCTTGTCATCACTAATTCGTGGGAATTTCGGGCGATTCACGAGGAGCCGAACACCGAGGTTAACTTTTGCCCTGATAAAGGACTTCAATTGTCTCTCCTGGTTCGAGGATTGTAATTAACTGGCGATGTCGTGCAACCCGCTCGTTCTAAACGAGGATTTGTAGTCCAAACTCGGTTTTAGCCCGGCTAGGGCAACTTACTCGGAACTTAATGCAAACACCGTGGCTTCGGCTGCAAAGCTCGGCGTAAAGTCAAGAAGAGTTATCCCGAAGTTCCATTCCTCGAAACTCGATTCCCTCCTGCAGGACATGCAAATTAACGAGCGAATTGTCAATGTCCCCGTTCGATTAAACCTGGTCGGGCGTTCAAACAAAATGGCCGCCCTCAGGATGAATCCTAGAAAATAATCTCCCGTTTTTCTTCTCGATTTTCTTACGTCGATTCAAAAAGGGAAATCCCGGAAGTATGGAGGACTTTATTACGCTGGGTTTAAACTTTGCGGGGGAATGGCACGCGTTGGGTACTGGATGACCTCGTAAAGTTTAATTCGTAGACGAATTCGAGGGAACCCTGCAAAAGAGCGACCCCGTCGAACGGACTGGGAATTCTCATCGGATGATTAAATTCGGGGGCAGCTGGGCGTGCCATCCGATCGAAACTGCTCGTAAAACCGCTTTTAAGCCGAAAACCTCCTTTAACAGCTCCCTGAGAATATTCCGTCGAAATGCTCCGGGCTAAAATAGATACCGCGGCGAGACGCTACGAAGTCCGGTCCGGGACGGAAGTGGCCGCCATTTTTCAAGTCGAATCGGCTCCGGACCTCGATACCTCCCGATTTTATGTGGGGACACTTTCCAAAGTGGCTTTTTACTCCTCCGGGATTTAATTCGTATACGTGGACCATTCGCTTCAGGAGAGACACACTCTACCGTACATTTAATGGATAATATATGTATGACTGTATACGTATATAATGGATTTATTCCGATGTGTAATTTTGCGTTTCAGCTGCATCAACCCGATCGTCTACGGATTCATGTCGAAGCACTTCCGGGAGAGTTTTTTGTCGGCGGCCTGCGGGGGGTTTTGGTATTGTTGCCCAAGAAAAGGGTACAGGGCGCCAGTCAAAAGACACCCCAGCCTCAGTCAAACCAGAACCACCAGCGTCAGGTGAGCCGAAATTAAAGGTTGTCGTTGTTACTAATGTGTAATCGATATGTATGGAATTGTATTATATATTTCTAGAAGCATGGTTGCGCTGACGCACGTACAGTGCCGGATACATCTCGTGGTGATGATCTTATTTGATTTCGTTGTAGGTGGACTTAGCTCTTACTGGGATTAAGGGCGTCAACGAGGATCGCATAAGATGTCCTGTGGATGTTGGTTCGAGCACGTAACGAGCACGCAATTGTGTAAAATATGTTTAACTTGGCAAGATTGCATGTTTCACCCAGATTTCGTGGGAACCGAACGCCGGGGATGTCGCTCTGTATAATATCAACGATAATTGCGAATTGTATTAATGCCTGCGGAACAAAGTATCGTTAAGCGAGGCTTAGGACATTTTATGGTAATTGAAGTGACGTCACTCGCCGAGCCGGCGTCGAAACTGAGAAGAGATTAAAGATCATTGCCGGTGGTGTTTTCTATGTTATGGACAAGGAATTTTGCTTTATTTATTACCCTTTCAACCGAAGAACAAAGTCAACGCTACTGAGGAACGTCGAAGGCGAGTGAAATGAAGGAGTGGAACTTTATTTAAACGAATTCTCGCACAGGATTAGGCGAATCATTTGTTCGTAACATTTCAGACTTTTTTAAGACTCGCTGTGTACATAAAAGAAAAAGAAACACTAACACTCATTTTTTACATATCTCTGTACGTAATAAACATTTTATTCCGGGGATTCGAGCGCTATGTATAGATTTTAGGATAACCGTTATTACGTACTGTCTATTGTTAAGGACTTTATCCGGCGCAATTTCGACACTTTAATATTTTAATATTTATTCCATAAGACCCTTCGGAAAGACTTTTCTCGAAATAAGAGGCCGATTTAGAAAGAGTGATTCGTTTAAAATGTTAAACACTGTCGACTCGCAGTTGGCGGCGAAGGGCGCTGTGAATAAATTAATTGAAGAGTATCACTCCGCAATTAAACTATTTGTCGCAGGGTCGAAAGGCAGAGTTTTTGCAAAAGAAGATATTCCTAACATTTTTTCTGGAGCAGTCCTAGAGGGTCAAGGAACTTGAATTTCAATCGTAAGTACTCAGCAAATTTTTTTTTAATCTAGAACATCACTTGCATAGAAATGATTATGAAGATGAATTATTAAGCTACGAGGTGTGATTAGAATCTCAATTACTCATACAACATATTAAAATAATTTTCTGCACGTGGAGGCTGTTTCCTAAAACTAATTCAAATTTGGCCACGTGATGGGTCTGATTAGATTCTAAATTTTTATGTTTCACGCCATTTGCGGCACTTTTTCTTCTCTCTGGTTTATCAGCAACATCCGCCCGAAATGGTGGAGCATGGTATTTAATACAAAATGCAGTCTGTAACAATGGAATTATTAGTGTCTTCAAGGAAAACATTTCTAGTTAAAGTAATAGCTACCATTTCCAAGGGCGCGATGCGAATTTGGAGATTTTCGTCTAAATTTTCGTAAGAGAAATACTGCCGAGCATCAAAAGGCTTAAAGTCTCCCCCATTGATCGCAATTTCCTCGTCTTCGTCAAAATCGAGGGCGAACTTTCCTTTCCTTTTGACTTTCATCCCTTTCATCCCTTTCTTCCCTTTCTTCGAGTTTTCCGCCATTTTCTCAGAATGCAGAGTTATGTGACCTTCCAAGGTTTGGAGAATATTCAACTTAAATTCCAAGGGGCAGTTGCATTTGCTTCGAATCTAAATTATACAAGATAGATCTCCATAAGCTGTGTGAGAATATATTTAACGAAGAATACACGGAAGAAAGATCAAGACGAGAACAATCAGCGGGTTCGCGAAGCGTTCTCGAAAATTCATGCCGGCCATATTGAAGGCTCCTTATTACAATATTCCACTATATTTGACGATGTACCGGGAATACATGGAATTTTAAATCCACTCACGAGCCACTATGTTTAGGAATGAGGCATAAGATAACCCGCTTTTATACAGTCATAAACATATACGATCAAGGATGTTAACGTGCCCCTCCGCTTCCTTAAGTAGCAACATGGCGGACCCAGAGCCAAAATTATTAGTAATCAGAGGCTAAATATACTTCAAAACCCGTGGCCCAAACTAATATCGACAACGTCCAACCGAATATTGCAGAAATATTGATTTCATCCTTTGCAACTTGATAAATATTTGACTGGCTCAATTGCGTTTCTACATTTACTCCTCAGATTATATCGCGAGCAAAAAGGACGCCTCAACTCGGAGTCTATTTCCGGAGCCAGGAATACGGTAATAGAAAACATGTACTGAGCAAATTGGAAAAGACGTTTTTTTTTCTTTCTTTTACGAGCAACGAAGGGAATCATACTCGTAAGAAATACTCAGCTCGCGGGAGTACGACGAGTCTACATGAAACGGTTTAACTATTTCGTGGGAAATGGCATTTCCATTATAAAATTACACCTGAATTTCACGGTCTGCTTTCTTTTATCACGAGGAGTTCTTCCTTCCCTACGGATATGATATCTTGTTCTACCGCATTGCGGCAATTTATTAATACTTTTCTCGAGAAAGAAAAAAAAAAATGCCGTCCGCGTTCGCGTGCCTCGCCGTAAAAAAGAAACCCGCGCGCGAAGGGCGACGCTTTACGGGGGCGTAATTTTGCATCTCTGCAAAATGCTACGTTAAAAAATTATTTTACGAAGACGTCTTCTTCTTACGACCGCGATAGCGGAAGATGGGCGAAGATTCAGTTCCGCGGAAACGCGTTGGAAATATTGATTTTCGCGGAGACTTTTCCGCCGGAAAAAAAAAAAAGAGAAAGTCCTCTCGGAATGACTTTTCCGTCACGAGGATTGATTTACTCTGTTGAGGGGGAACTATTTTTCTTTTTTTTTTCCCCCCCAGCGGAGTTCAAATAAAATAAGCTTGCGATTTATTACAGTTCGGGATTATTTATTCGCTACGAGGAAATCCGCTCGAAATGAATTTCGGCTGTCGTGGCACTCGACACTGCCTTATGTCAAAAGGATTGAATTACCCGCCGAGGAGACTTTAAATATCGATAAAATTTGAAAAATAGGAGGTCCGAATTTCGCTCGCAGGCCGCCTCGGTTTACTTTTATTTCCGCCCGATGTTTCGTTCGCTCTGGACAGCGTTAAATATATATATATATAAAAAAAAGGAAAAAGAAAAAAATTGTTACGTCCAAGTTTAGAATGCGAGAACACGCTTCGCGTAAATTGAGGCTCTCCGTGTCTTCTTTTGTGTACGGAGAAGAGACATTTATTGGACAAGATGAAATACAATGCCCCGGGTAATATCCTCCAATAATGCGACACCGTTTCCCTGAATTTTTATCACATTTGTTCGGATTTATTACGGCACGGCAATTATTTCTTCTTTTTTTTCTTTTACAGTACTGGACCTGGAACTGGAACAAGAAGTCTCCCCTTTTCAGCTGCAGGGGTACACTCGACGTCGAATGAAAAACTAATGAACAAGTAGGCGAATTACGAGAGGATAGTAATTTCTCTTGCCGGGAGGTGCACCGTGCGCAAAATTTTAAGGTATCCATATCTAATAAACCACTCTTAGCGGGGAGAAAAATTCGTAACGATAAGTCGGAGCTCGCCGAGTGGATAATGTCGGCCCCGGCGACGAGCGAGACGTAAAAGCGAATTTCATTTTTATTCCCACTTTTATTCCCTTATCATCTGATATCGAAGTTCGGGGGGGTTGGTTGGATTACGAGACTGTAAACGGAAACAACGTCGGGGGAAACTCATTTGCAGGAGTTGGAAAATTACCGACACTCGGAGTGGATCGTTCCCTTCCGAAAGACAATTATCTCGGGTGAGTCACGGAAGATTGCAAATTTCCAGTAGGCCTAATGGTTTCCCGGTTTCGCCGCAATTTCATTTCCGTTGTTCCGTGTATGCACTCGTGCGAGTTACTATCGGTTCATTTGAGGCAGTCTGCAATTCTAATGGCGCGGCAATGAATGAAAAAGAAGTTGCAAGTGCAACGCAAAAACTCCGGTGGCGCTTTCTGTCGTAAAACTGGGAACTAATATGGCGCAACGCGTGTCGGTCAAACAGTTTACTAATCGAACTCATAGCGTATGCAAACTGCCGGTTTTATGCCTCCACGTTGCATAATTATTGCACCTGGCTTGTGAATTGCGAGCGATAACGGTACGCCGCGACATGCGATTGCACTTTGAGGTTTGACGGTAGGAAGTGCACGTTATGCAGCGCAATGAGTCGCAGTAAAACACTCGTCATACGCGGACCTTCTACTCCCCGCAATGCGCCATGAATTTATTCATACCGCCGGGAAACGAACACGTCTTATTATTCGATTGAGTTTTCCAACCGGATGATAATAAACCGCCGGATTTAAATTGAATTTTCAAACCTACGGGGAAAAATGAAGGGAATCTCTCATTCCAGGAATTTCAAGGGATCCATAGTTTCCGAGATATTCGCGGATAAAATTGCCCAATCGCGTGCCGGCTCCAGGGGAAAGTCCGAACGTTTATGAGTGTTTTGTTAGTTCTGAAATCGATCTCTAATGATACTTAAGAAAAACTTAAATGCCGGTCTTCCTTGAAATAAAATATTAACCGGGTTATGACATTAGAAATTGATCAAGATCGATCGCAGCGCCCGGATTTGTTGTTTCCCTTGGACCGATGCCGCCAAAACCGCGTCGCGATTGGTTGCTTTGATCGCTGGTTATCTCGGAAACTATTCATTCCCCGTCATTTTTGAAAAGACACTTTCAATTCGACTTCCCACGCGGCGTGCAATACATTGGTTGTATTTCACTTTCGAGAAGATCGGCCGCTGACTCCTCCCTCTCGACTCTCCGGGGAAATTCTGTATCCTTTCTTCCCATTTCAATCCACACAATGCAGCTTGACGGACTGCGCCTTATGCACCCTCACTCTTCGCTGAGCACTTCAAGTACGCACTCGGTGCATTTTCTCGTGATGTAGCTCGAAAATACCGCGGTCGATGAACCGAGGTTAACATAAATCTACAGCGCCCCCTCGAGCCGAAGAGGCATTATTTATGCCTGAAGATACGAGAGTTCGATAATAAGTGTTACGTTGTTTCCGATAATGCACTTTCGCTGATGCACATTCATCACCTGAGCCTTATTCTGGGGTTATAAGCGAATTCTAGGAAACCTTAGGAGAGGAATTTGCAACGAGGTGTGGCAAATGATGTTTGCAAATCGTCTTGTTAGAATTTAGTGACTAGCAAAGTAAGTCTTGATATTGCAGTCTTGATTTTAATCTTGTAAAATGTACAAATCCAACAAGGCCAAGACTCGAATGTGCAAGAATATGTATATTTGCTCATCAATGCTTGGAATCCACGCTTCTTCAACGTTAGATTTACTCTTTCTGCGTTTATGGCTAATAACTGTCAACCTCGAAGTCGCGACTAAATGTCCGAAGAAATTGCCGGCATTATGAAAACCGATGCTAACTTTGTCTGAGTATTGTGATTTTCAATGTTTCTCTTGGTCGCGTCCACAACTCGAGACATTCTCATAACGCAGAAACGGAGTCATTTAAATAACTGTGGTGCACTTTAACTAGAGGAAACATGTAGATTTGATTTGAGGTTTGTTATCTTTCGGGGAAGGTATTCGTATAGTTGTCATTCTGTTTTACTCCGCGAAGTTATCATGTTTCTCTTGAGAGGCATTATTAACGGTGAAATAAAAGTAACGACGTAAAGGTGAATGTACATCAGAGATGAGTTGGGAGATTGTTCACGGGCAGGATAGTCGCTCGTATCCTGTGCTGCCCTCTGGTTTCGTACGTTAGCATTCACCGTTTTTTGCCCCCCCATTTGCGGAAAAAATAAATAAGGTAAGTGAAGGATAAAGTCAAAGAGGGCGCCACGAGTGTTCTTCCCTTACCATCAAAAGCGTGCAGTTCGGTAAGCGTAGGTAAGCCACCACCGTCAACTGCCGCATGGTATTACCGTCACGGGTACGTGAGCCGCCAACTATGACTGGTAGATGGCACCGCCATCGCGAGTGTGCGATCCCCTACCAGAAATTCGTTGCGCCGCCCTTGGGGGCAAAAAACAGTGAAAGCTGACGTACGAAACCAGAGGGCAGCACAGGATGCGATCGCACGATCCTGCCCGTGAGCAATCTCCCAACTCATCTCTGTTTGCAATAAAGAACTGTAACTTTCTGTTATCACTACCGACGCGTGAACCGTCGGCGGTAAAACAGAATTAATCTATTAAATACTAGCTTTGAATAAAGTATCGGTGCTAAAACAATTTCAGTATACTGAGCAAAGTACCTCCTTTAGATAACTTGTCGGTTATCGGTAAAATCGTCCCCCTGTTAAGCATGTTATCGACGTTCGACATAACCCGGAGTGTAAATTCAGTACCCTCAAATGCATCGTTTAGAATGGAGGTCGCTGCAAGAGTTTCGTGCCTACACACGTCTTATTCATGGCGTCACTAATTACATTTATAATTATTATCCATATTTTTCGCAGATTTACATGCTACATCAGCCACAAATAAATGTCGATACTGCAACATTATGTACACTCTTTATAAGTTAAGGAAATTTATTTACCGTCAATCTGCACTCGTCCGATTTTCCAGGCTTTGCCGTTAATCTAGCGACGACCATTTCCGGTGTTATTTCCCAACTGGGAATCACTCCACTTCCGGAAACTGCGAGTCGCCATATTGTTCTGGTCCCAGCCGCGCGAACTTCAAAAAATTGACGTGCCTAATTGAGATATAAGTAACAATTGAATAGATATTCCAGTTCGAAGTCGTGTAACCTCTTTAAAAAGATTCAGGCCTTTCTCTGTGGTAATTTTTTTTAATAATCGAGGAAAAAATTTCCGATAATGGTATGCGAGCATGCAACAATATCTTTTAAATCTTGTCGCTGTTCTTGCAAATGGCGATGCAAGTGCCTCATACCCAGAAAGAAGAAACGGAAACCGCCTTTCAATAGTTCGGTCCCTTTGGGCAAAAATATTGGATTGCATCCAAAAATGTATGCAAGTTCGCAAATGGCGCCCCCCGTTGGTTCATTCAATCCTTCGCTTGCAAAAAATAAATCTCATGGAATAAGGTATACAAAACTATACAATTTAATTGTCTATTAAATACTAATAATTTTCCTCCCTCGGAAATTGATTTTTTGGGGGATTCAAATCAGCTGGAAAAGAGAAGAAGACATGGAATACTTTTCGAAAACAATGGGGGGGCGTTTCCTGGAATCTTACACCGTCCAAAGGGAAATTATGAGAACTGGTCGAGGACCAGGTACTCACGAGATCCCTACGTGGCCTAAAAATATTTTGGAAAAACCATGCTCGAGTATAAAAAATAACATCGGCTTTGGCACGGTTCCACGACTCGCAAGTACCAAAAAATCGACGACCCCCGGTCCTGGTAATGTAATAAAATATTTAGGAATGTTTAGAAACGGCTTGAGATAGTTTGAAAATTATTTCCTCAATGTTCCTTCAGGCTACACTGGAATCGAGCACAACCCTTACTACTACATTGATAAAAATAGACTGAAAAGCCCTTCGGATTTGCCTTCTTTTGAATACGACGGACTGCATCCAAGATTTCGAAAATGGATAACTTCTACTGTACCCTGTAACAGGTTGGCGTGGGAAATTCAATTTCAGACAAGGATGACATTTTTAATATCGAATTTCAGATACGACGTTCGGCACCTAAAGTCCTTGGACACTTTTTTGAAAAAGGTTACCAGCAAGAGAGGACCCTATGATCTATTTACAGGTGCTGAAATGAAACATTTTTAGCAGTCCTAAGAATGAGAAAAAATTGTAATCCCTATGAATATTTTAATAGGTCCCAGGGATAATTCGACTCTATGCGGTTACCTTGCTCTCCCATTGAAAATAGATTTTCAAGACTGGCCGAAGGTATTTCCAGGAGAAATCGAGAAGCTTATGCACAAGTCGAATCACTTCAAAGGCCAGTGGACGAATGGCCCTAGGTAGTTGAAATAAAAAAAAAAAGAAATAGAATTCCCACACACGTAGAGCTATTCCAGTAAATGTCGAACATGTTTGAGAATTTCAATGAACTAAAGGTGGATTCGTTTGCAGGTTTCCGAAGAAGCCGACGGCTAGATCGATGTTAAAAGACCTCAGCTTGTGCTATAAGGATCTCGATCAACCAGGTCCTGCACATTATAATCCTCATCTGAAATTCTCGAAAACTCGGATCACAAAAAATTACCCCTTTGATAGTAAAGTCGAACTCGATCGACCTCCGGGATCGAGGGCGGCCAATCCTGGACCAGGGAGATACAAGATACGAAATTTAAAAAGTGTCCGCGGTCATGGTTGGACTTGGGTCTTCCAAAGCAAAGTCCGAAGAAGCGACTGGCTAGTGACCGAGGATCCGTACGCTGCATTTTAATTTTCAAGATAAAAAATTAAATTCAACGGATTAATATCTACTTACGTATTTATCCTCTTCTAGTTTCGGTGTGTATGTAATAGGCAAGGTTAACACCGAGCCTGGTTCGATCATTTTCCCAGGTGGCATGTAGTAAGGTCCAATAGGGTTCAGTAGGGTAACATCGACTTTGACGTTTCTAAAAAATGCATATTAATTTTCAAATCTTAAGAAAAATTGTAAGGAACGGGAGGCATGTTCATGTACTTGTTGGATATATTTTTCACGGAAAGGAACTTCCTTGAAGATGTTCCAATGGCCGTGGGACCGAAAGAGAACACCCTGGTGGAATTCAAAATCAAAATGTCGGGCTTCACCACGGGACAAGTGAGTTTTATGTAGTTCCTTTCGTCACGTCGCGTACCATTTTTCATTCTAACCCCGACGATGCAAACCGCGTTAACAGTCGCTACATAATTTTCAAAATTCTCAAGGAGAAAATTCTCTCCGGGCAGCTTGTCGCACTCCGAGAGCTCCGCGTCCGCCATCTTGGTCCCCGAGTAGCGAGATTTTTCTGAAACGATTGCTCTCTTTCACGTCTTTCTTTTTAATATCTGCGCGTAGAACATTTGAGAAACGTTAAAATAGCTTCGGGAACCTTTCTCGGCTCCCGTTGCAGCGTTTCTTCCCGTTTTCTCGCTTTCGAGTTCAGCCTCGTTGGAGTCTCTCCGCAGTTTTTCTGCCTTTATTTCTTGCGTCTTCCGGTACACCATTTTGTGCGCCAATTTCGGCGCAAAAAGGACGCTGATTTTTCGACGTTCCGAAGAACCGAGGCAGCCTTCTCGGGGGCAAAATCTGATTTGCTTCGAAGTACACTTGAACTCAAACCAGGCCTCGAAGTCTGGTGAATTATTTTTCTCTAGGCCGCAAATGCAGGGAGGAGAGGACGCCATATTGAATCCGTGAACTTCTAGCGTGGCCTAAAATACGTGTAAAATTTAACCAAATGTATATTTTTAATGCCTACATCGATTTTTTCCTTCAAATTTAAAACTCACGATCGAAAAGGACTCGCAAGGAGTGTCGGGGAATTTAATTATTTGTTTACTCAGTTCGCAATAATGATCGACAATGCGTGCAAAGACTTCCACGACGTTCTTCTCTTCCCGCGTGTCCTCAAATTCAAAACTCTCCATCCTTGGGCTATGGTCTTCGAAACGTTTATAAGGAAGTATGTTTTTGTCAATTAGCCCCGTGTCGTTTATTGTTTAATCTATTTTCCTACTTTCCAAAGTCGAAAACGAATCCGAGTCGTTGACGTCATGGTCGCTGACATCCTGGGTGAAATCTGGAATGACAATTTTTCTTGGATCCCGAGATCGTAGACCTAGGCATCTTTTAGGCATTTTCAATTTGAAATCCGTCTCGCTTTTCTTCGAGAGTAATTTTAAGGGCCTTCTAAGCGGTAATTTCAGCGTTTTATGAAGGGGCTTCTCAAGTTTGCTTATCAGGGGATATTTAGATCCTGCGAGCTGCGCCAAAGTGACCACTCGTAATTCAAATCTAGATTAAACTATTATCAAAAAGCTGATAATTAAATATGAAGATTAGGAAACATTTCTCTTTGAAGATTTGTTGCTAAACTTTTTATCTCCAGTCGTTCCGTTGGCTCGTAGATGTCTTCGAGGAATATCCGCCAAAGAGGCCGAATAAATAATAAAAAGCCGTATGGTTTTTCCAGGAAGTATCTTTCCGAATCCATGATTAGGCTGTATTTCCATGAAATACGGTATGTCTAGAAAACCATACTCTTGAGGCAATAGCGATTTGTTGGTTAGTCTGATCTCTGCAAAAACAGACTCCTTCGTATGGACGCGTCCTAATGTTACAAAATCTGGCTCTAAAAATAAAAGGAAATATTTTTATTAACAATTTTCTATGTCCTACTAGAATTTATAGGAAAGATTCCCAACCTAAGACGAGAGCGCGAGCCGTTGTGAGGGTCGCTATGATTTTTAATATTATCGCTGGGGCGTTTTTCGAGTCTGCGGATTTTGAGTGAATGTGAATCGGTATGCTCAAGATGTTCGTCGAACAATCGTAATATCTGGACCAGAGAAAAAAAAATCGTCAGAAGTGGCCGAGATGCCGAAAATGTTCGGATTTTCTCGCATCGGGAAAACGAACAGTCGACGCTTACCCTTTCGATTTTTCCGAAAAGTCCGTTTCCGGAATTAATTTCACGAGAATCGTGCAGGAGGACTCAGGCTGGACGAAAGTCGACTTCGGGAAAATCCGAATTTGACCGTCCAATTTTTTCGGAGTCTTCACCACGATCTCCGAAGTATGAGCACCTGAAAGAAACTCATCCATTGTTTCGGATGGAAAAGTGTAATTAAAAAAGAAGAATTTTCTTACCAGTATTTATGACGTCAAAATTTGTCTGGTAAACTCCAGAGTCCGCCATTATGATTCCAAGGTCCACGATCGGAGGATCTACGTAAACTTTCAGCCCTGTCGTTTCTCCCCACATAGGAACATTCTTAAAAGGACGAATTCCAGATTTTCATAACGTAGGAAACTCTCTACGCAATTATTCTCGAGAGTCTCGACCTATCGTCTCGACCTGGGCGAATGATAACAAACGCTTCGAAAAAAAAAGTTAACATGGCGACCACCACCCCATTTGATTGCTTTTGGATTTATCGCGTTAACTAAATGCTTGTAAATCGAGACTTAATAAAGTTTATTGCTCATAATATAAAACAAGCGTTTCGTTTAATAAAATTTGCTAAAGAACATATTATTGAGTGAGAACTGTCTGTAATATTTGCGATGTTACCTGCTCTTTAAACACAACCCCGTCGGCTTCGAAGTCGAATTTAAAGACGTCGTGATGGAGTCCGATATATTGTGGGGAAAAATTAACGTTTAATTGAAAACCTGATTTGGGCGGAATTTCTATTCGATACACTCTCGGTGCGAGATTATACTCCACCGAATTCGAGGATTCCGAAAAGCCTGGATTATCATCGAGAAATTGCCAAGTGAAGATGTCCTTGTCTTCGTTCCTTTTTGGAATGTCGAAAGAGAAGGATTTCGAGCCCCGATTTTCTATCGTTAGCATTTTTTGCATGTATCTGATAGAGGAGTATTTCCAAAAGGACATTTTCGGAAATCTGCCGGGAAGAGGTGTACGTTAATTACTGCACTACTCCCCAAAAATATTGGAACGTTTAAAAATCAAAATTATGCATATCTGATAACCACATGTATCCTTTAGCATAATGAGAGGAAATTGTTACAAAATATCGGTAATTACAAGTAGCTTTCAAACCAAAATTTGCTCTCTTTACAACATCATAAACAATACAGGCTAGTCTCCAATTTGCACGACTTTTATATTTAGAGGTTGTGGTTCTTTTTACAAACAGCGTATTTGTATATAATTTCTCGATAGGGAATTTAATTTACCTCAGCTCGGAAGGATATATAATGGGCTCGGGCATTTTTGGCGTGCATTTAACAGGAATCCGAAATTCATGGAAATTTTTTGTGTCGTCTGCATTTAATGTAAGGAAAATTATCTCCGCGGTTACTTCCTCCTCTGATAGCGGCTCGATCGTGACATTTATCGATACGTGTAATCCCGGCTTGAGTTTCACTGCATCTAATTTGTCGATTTTCAAAATCTTGGGATTTTTACTGTCAGACTCGATTTTGAGAAAGCGAAGGTACGCCCATTTCTGACTTTTATTGTAAATCGATACTTTTCGGAGATGCGACTTGTTCGCCTTAAAGCCCTGAAATAATTTAGCTCAGTCGCAAAATGTTTTACCTTCCAATTCAATTAATACAAGGTATATCATAATTACTTTGATTTCGAGAACGCCAGGATTCGCGTAGAAACATTTGTCCCGGGGATGAATTTCTTCGGCTTTCAAATTCCGAATTTTCTGCTCAATTCTATCAGCTGTGTCCGAATCCTCGAAAACTGGCGATAAATCATTTTCAAGCCCGTTTCTTTCTTGATCGTTCTTCGAAAAAGTCCTTACATGTTCATTAACCTTTGAAAGACTTAACTAACGCTCAAGGATTTGGTATTTCTAAACAAATTAACCTACCCCTTCGCTGTAACCCAACATTTTACGGCAAATCAGTAAAGGAATCAGTATCTCCAAGTAACACACATTTTTTTAACAATTCTCATTCAACTTGTATAAAAACATCTCATTATGAGATTTTTATTAAACAATTACGTTCAATTCTCTTAACAATCTTTCGTATCTTTCACTTCATCAGGCACGTCAGTCGAGGGATCGATTATCGATTATTCCGCGAGTTTTTTTTTCTTTTATTTTAGTGGTGGATTTTTTTTCTTCAATGGCGATTTTAAAGAAGTATTTGTTCGAAATTTATTAGAAGCATTTGAAATGTAGTTGGTGTTACATAGAGTGATTTTCTGGATGACTGTACCGAGATCTGTACAAACTGTGCCGTGGCAGGTATCATCGTAATTCATCACAATTACGTCGTACTGTTTTCATTTTTCCTCGGAGAGAGGGAAAAGAATCGCCGAGTGAGATTTCGTGCCACATGAAATCATATCGGAAAGGTTCAGCATAATAATGCATCGGCGCAGATTATTCAGGCCCGAGCTGCACCGAATGCATAATTCATACGTATGCCGCGAACTCTGAACCAGCTGCATCGGCGCCGTTTAACTGTCTTTCGATTTTTTATTGACGAAAAGTGCAGTTACACTACTGCGGAAATTACCACCCCGGGGTTATGCAAAAAGAAAATCCCGCGGCTCGAGATCTCACTCCGCGGCGAAGACCGTCGCTTTTTGGGTTTCGATTAGAGACGGTGAGGCTTGGTAAAAAATTCATTTGCCAGGTAATGAGAGCTTTTCTTGAAAGGTTCACTCGCGAGGATCATTATTTCGAAAATTCGATCGCGTAAAGCTCCACGGGGCGATTAATATTCGACGCCAAAAAACGGAAGTGGAGCGTCTCGACGGTGCCCCATGGCGGCCATATGCTTAATAATTTTGTAGATTGATGGGGAATTTCATGGTGCAACTGACACCCCATTCTTGGAGGAACGCGGCCTGCATTGCAGCTCCCTTTAACTGTCAGGGGTGCAACCGTGCATTTGTTACGAGGGTGGGATTAATCGAGATCCACTTAAGAGGTTAATAACTTTTCAATTTAACGTCGGGCCCCATTTCTCAGCCGAAACTCGCGCGATCGCTCGGCGAGGACCAAAAAATTGATCACTCCACACCTGTTCGACTCCCCAAATTGGATAAGAATTATTGACCCTCTTTTGTCACTGTCAGGGTTGCCTGTTAACAGTTTCCCAAGAGCTTTAAGAGTCAACGGTAAAGTTTAAGGGGAGATTTAGCGAAATATCCAGAAGCAAGCCGTAGTAAAGTGGCAGAAAGTTTAGACGAGCGATCGAGAAGGGATCCTTTTCGAAAGTGGATTTTGGAAATTCTAGGGTCCCGAAATCGGAATGCGAGGGCACGCGACCACTGTCAGAGGCTTCCAAACATTTTGGAAACAACTCAATCGCGAAGTCCTGGGGCCCCGGGGTCCTGGACCCCGAGGGAGTCTCGAAAGACGATTTGTCAACCCATCTCGAAAACGAAAACGGGCCCGCCGCCATCTTGGACCTCCCCAAGGCGTCGCGTGCCCGTCTCCCCATGGCTCCTGTAACCTGGCCGACTTCAAAGTCCTGTAAATCACCTGACAATGGCGCGACAATTTCGGGGCCCCACACGGCAGCTCCCGTCCGCATTGACCGAATTCGAAAACGGGCCCAAAAGATTCTCGAGAGGCAGCTACTGGGCGTAAATCTTACTTTCTTCTCGAGGGAAAGACTTTCGCGGTCTCGGTTCGCAAGAAGAGGATCTCAAGTCCCTCGCGTTTCCCGAGGACTTGGGCCCTTCTGGGCCCAACTCTCGGCTTGGAATTGGGCCCGGACTTCGGTTTTAGTTTTCGGACGGAAGGACAGAGATAGGCGGTCCCCGGAGGAGGAAGAAAGAGGGAAGACTCGGATGGAAAAGGAAGGATGTCCGGGCTCCGCTTTGGGGACTCGTGCCCTTTTCCTCGGACCCGAGAACTAGCCCAAAGACCCAGTGGCCCTAAATTTCGGAAAAGTGTGTCAGAGCTCGGCATGATCTTTTCCCGAAAACTTTCGACTTTAGGGCCCCCCGAGCGTGTTGCGCTGTATCGGATAGGGCCCTCAATCTGCACAATGGCGGACCCCCACCTGGGAAACCATCGGCTACTGGTTCTCCTCTGTTCTATATGCACGGGTTATAAAGGCATAAATTTGCGAACAATGCGCGCCTCGGATTCCTCCGATTATTGCGAGGCAAGGCCCAATTTTCAAAATCCACCCTTCGCGCCGTCAATCGAATTTCGCTTCGATCTAATCGATGTCGTTGCGGATCTTGAAATCTTCTTTCGGTAATTCGACTCTTCTGGGACCCTCTTTTAAATTCCCACCCTCGGAGGCGGCTTCTTTGGGAATCGAGAACTCTTTTTTTTTTTTTCATAAAGGGAAATGGACTGTTTTACCGTCCGGAAGTGACGGTCACGCCTTCGAGTAATCACCCACGTGCGCGCCCTTTAGCGGCGCGAAAAAAATTCCCCTAGGAAGGCTCAGGGCCCCTAGGACCCCGGCAACGACACTAGCGCCACGGGCCCGAAGCAGGCGGAGAGGGAAACCGCGAGGTGTGATGAGTTACAGCTGGTTAAACAGCTGTATGAAAAATGGAGACGACCGGCGTGGCACATTTTTCGACACCCCGGGAAAACCTTCCGTTAAAATCGGAGAGACCTTTCGTCGCTTCCATCTCCTTTTCAAAATCGATCTCGGTGCTTCCGGATTTCATTTCGAAATCTTAAAAGCGGGGGAGAGGTCGTAGCGTTAAGATCGCAACCGTGATTTATATCCGGCAATTCGGCCAGCGGTGGAGCCGCGGCCATCTTCGATTTTCTCCCTGGCCAAGGAGCAATAAAGTCTTTCGAGGATTTCGGAAAAACGTTGACCGAGCAATCCGGCTACCGAAATTTCCCTTGGGGGACCTCACTTTTGAACTTTCCAATGAAATTTACGAGACCTGCGGCTTGCTATAAACTTTCGTTACGTCTGGCCCTCTGACCCAGACTCGACGCCATTGTTGGCGGGAGGAAGGCCGACTTTTGGCAAATGTTGAGTTACGACTTTCGAAAAATTTCTCCTCGGCTATGTGGGTTACCAGGCCGTATAATTGCGGCCCTACCCCTAGGCCACTCTCCCGTTTATGATTTTTCCAAATTTCCGAAGTCGATCCTCGGTCGTCTGAGTCTTCTTAACGGGGGGTGAAGCTAATCTGTCGTGTAGGAATTATAAGGACGTCATCGCGAGGTGGAAGTTTCGCCGGCACATTCAACGTGCCCCGGAATTACACGTGAGAATTTCGTGTATTCTTTTTCTATTTCTTCTTCTTCTATTTTTCTCGGCTTTTCGAAGGAGTAGATATAACGAGGGATCCGCCGCGTCACGGTTTTGATGATGGCGAGCCGAGTTCAAAGCTTGCCGCAACACCGGTAGCCGCCATTGTGGTGCATTTTGATGCGTCAACACCTCGATGCATCACGGCCACCCTGACCTAGGTAAGGACCCTTGTTGGAACCCCAACCCTCTGTCAGGAATCAACCGGTGATCTCCCCTCTTCGACCCCCTTTTACGAGCTTCCAATTGGCCCATCCTGGCCAATGGAAAAACGATCCCATTTACGGGGTGCGTGTCAAGGGTTGCAACGTCGCGGCCATTTTGTCCGGAACATTAAAATGGGCCAACGTAAGAAATTAGAAGTTGCAAATAATTGAAGAGGGTATTGCGTATCGTCTCATGGTAACGATATTGAATAATGTTATCAGGCAATATGATTATCTCGTTATAAGATAAAAAATGTAATTAATATTCCCGGGATCGATTTTGACGTCCGGTCCGATGCGGAATGCGAAAATGTGGCGGACAGAAGGAAGGACTTTCCCCCAAGGAAGGCTCCATCCTGCAAATGGAAAGCGACGTTGGACAAAGGACATTTCACGGGCCTTACCTATAAAATTGGTCATAAACGCAGCCTTAGAACTCGTGTCCTTCGGACGTCAAAAGTGTCCCTTAATGCCTGCCTGAGATCTCCCGAGACTCGGAGAGGCAGCGACGCCATCTTGGAAACTAGTCTTCGGGAGCATTTTTAATATTTCAAATAAAAATAGATAACAAAGCAAGGCCCGCATTGCGTGATAAGGTCAATCTAGAGACGAGAATTTTTCGCGCAAGATGGCGGACCGGAAGAAGCTGAGACCGAAACGTGGAGGGTGGAAAAATGTCAGAAGCGCCGCAGAGGCGTCGACGCCATCTTGGAAACTAATCTTCGGGAGAATTTTTAATATTTTAAATGAAAATAGATAAAGCAAGGCTCACCAAAAAGATAAAGCCAATCTGGGGACGAGAGTTTTACTCAAGATGGCGGACCGGAAGGAGGTGAGACCGAAACGTGGAGGGTGGAAAAATGTTAGAAGCGCCGCAGAGGCGTCGACGGGCGCATTTTAGTTGGTCTCTCGTAAATCAAGAGCCTGGTCCTAGGAGCAGAGGTACTCGAGCCCTTTTTCCGCGAAGGAAGTCGCCAGATCTCGGCAATTTCTTATGGTCGGACGACGGCCACACGCCGGCCACCATAAACCCCCATAAAGTCATCGGCTCGTAAAATTTTCGCTCGCATTCCCGTAAACGAGTCCACCGTAAATCATACCGGAGAGCTCCTCGATGAGAAGGACCTTCTCGCAATTCGGCCCTGGCCGTGGACCTGCAGAGGATCCTCCCATTTCTTCTTTTTTTCTCTTCGCATTTCGGTAAGGACGACGGGCGGCACTTAGGTCTCGTGTCGGCGGCCTCGGCCACGCTTCGGGCACATAGGGTAGGAGTCTTTAAATACTCGAGTAGAGGCACATGGTGATGTCGAGTAGACGCCTTTGACTAGGGGAAAGAATTAAAAAAGGGATTATTGATTTCTCAAAAATGAGTTCAGCCTTCGTTTCGACGACCTCGAATGCACTTTACCCTCTCGGAGTGGAATCCTTCC